AAGTGTCATAGTATAAGTGGTTGGAGATTTTTTTTTTTCCAATTTCCAACCACTTGTATTATAATACTTGGTATACCGAGTCATATTCCAGTCACATTGAAAAAAAATTCATGTCCCACATGCAAATCTTTTTAATCTAACACACGACAAATTCCTGTTTAGTAATATGAGAATACGTTAAGTTGTTAGATTGTCATACAAATAACATAATTACGATATCATGTTAAGAATGTACATCCAAAGCTAATTCGCAACTTGAGTAGAGATCAGCAAAACTTCTTAAGCAGTTATACTATACTTTCATTATTTGAGAAGACAAAGAGTATCTTATACGTACGTGTTCTTTGTGGGTTTGAAACAAGGGGCGAATTGGGATCTAATCCCCACAGGCTGTAAATTCTCAAAAATATACCATTTGTTCAATCAAGCGAATCCCATCTTCTTCTGTCCTTAAAATATTCGTCGACTTGTCAAAAAAACATCAATGTAGCAGTATCCGAAACCAACGACAAATTTTTAAAGTTCACACAACTTGCCACAGCCCCACGAGTCTCTCCTCCTCCACCTGCTTATAAGTAGCATGGCCACCTCTTGCCCATACCATCATTCCCTTGACTTCTTCACTATCTGAGTCCCTTTTGTAAACCCTCGTTTAACCTTAGCTCCCTAACACCATACACATTATCCTCTGCCACTCCTCTTATCAGCTCGCGGCAACCGGCGTACGATTCAAACTTCCGGTTTATATCTTCACGTAAGATCGCAATGGCATCGGTTTCTTCCTCGAGGAATTTCAACTCCTCGTGGACGCCGAAGGAGAACAAGCTGTTCGAGAAGGCGCTGGCCGTGTACGACAAGGACACGCAGGACCGCTGGCATAATGTGGCCAAGGCCGTCGGCGGAAAATCTGCGGAGGAAGTAAAGAGGCACTACGAGATTCTGGTGCATGATCTCATGCACATAGAATCCGGCCATGTCCCTATACCAAATTATAAGTCCGCCGGCGGCAGCGGCAGCGGCAGCAACAGAGGATTTGGTGACGAGCAGAGGTAAGAGTAGTTATGTTTTCATTTGTCATAATCTCTTAATTGCTTCTAACCATTCAAAGCTAATCCATACTGTCCATATTCTTCTCCTTGAAAGTAGCCAGACATCCTAGTGCATGAAAGATTTTTCATCGCGTTAGAAACACGGCCTGGTTACTAAGTATCATAATATAAGTGGTTGAATATTTTGAAAAGAAATTTCACTATCGTATCATAACACTTAGTGTAATGGTCTGTGTTCCCGACACACTGAAAAATTAGAGGATTCTTGACTGTAACAATATCAATCGTATTTCAGCTCTGATGGCATATTAGAATTTCCGCATCCAACTCAAAATAAATTGTTATGACTCAACAAGACGAAGATCGTACAAACTATTATGTTAGGTTTTGATTCCCCAACGTGCAATTCACCTTCCCCACGTAAAATTGCATGAAAATATGTTCTTCCTTTTAAGTGTAAACTATTATGTTAGGTTTTGATTCCCCAACGTGCAATTCACCTTCCCCACGTAAAATTGCAAGAGATTTTCCATGCTGTCTATATTCTACTCCATGAAAATATGTCAATCGTAACTTGGTTTTGATACAATCTTAGTCTGGAGCATTCGATATGAAATTAATTATTATTGACTAAAGAAACAGAAGATCGCCTAAATTGTTACGTATGGTTTTAATTCCCAGACGTGAGAGTCACACTCTCAACATGGGATTCAAAAGCTATATATTAGTCGAAAGCTGTATGGGTTTGTAGCTTGTCCATGAAATTTTTTTCAGTGTTCTGAGAACACAATCGGGTACACCAAGTGTTATTAGTGGTTGGAAATTTATTTTTTCAATCACCAAACTACTTATATTATGACATTTGATGTATCAGATTGTATTCTCGACACACTGAAAAGTTTCTGTTTACCCTCTCTTTCCATAATGTTATTCACTATGTTTTCCACTTATCGAAGCGACAATTCAAACTAAAAACACTAACTTGAGTACTCCCCAATAAATTTTATATGATTTTTTTTCTATATATTTTGTATATGCATCCACATCCCATACTATATTCAACTGCAATTCCTAAGGAAGAAGAAGAAAATAATAATAATAATAATAATAATAATAATAAAAAGAAAAAGAAAACCACATGAAATCTAGTCCGTACTTATTTTAGATTGCACACGCACATGTTCCTATGACTAAAGTAATTGAGAAACATTGTGTGACGCCAAACACTCCTTTTAATTATTTATCACAATCTCTCATTAATCCCAAGGCTTGGCAAGATTTTTCAACATGCCAGGAATACTGTCAGGTACATCAAGTTTCATAATATAATTGGTTCAAAACTTGAAAATATACATTTTCAATCAATTGTATCATGAAAGTTGGTATATGGGGCCGTGTTCCCGAACACACAGAAAAACTCTCCTAGACTTGCTAGCGACTGTCATTGGTGACAGAGATTTTTTAGTGTACCCAAAACATGAGGTGGTACACCAATTATTCTACAAAGTGGAGAAAAGTTTTTGTTTCAAGTGTTCCTACTTGTATAATGACATGATGTATGTGACCGTGTTTCGAGTACATTGAAAACTCTTCCCATTGTAGGATCTAGCTAAACCTCTTGGCAGCTTTTGTAGTTCATGAAAATGTTTATAAATATATACTACTTATACATACACAAATACACACCAAGTAATCCATGCGTTACACCAGGGAATATATTAAAAACAGGACATCTTACTTAAAAAAGAAAGCTCCTAGCAAAAAGATGCTAATTCAGTCTGTTAAGCTAATTAAGTATGGCGTTGTGGGATTAGTAAGGTAATGCCACTTGGGGTGTTGGGATAATCACATTGCTCAATTGGCTCAAAAGATGCTTAATTAATTGCTTATTCAACTTGGAGGTTTGACATTATCTACAAAGATTTTTTATGCATTACTTGGAAGATGGAATTAATATATATTTCTAGTGCTAATTACTCTCTTATCTAATCAGGCTTATGAAAAATTTGAAGATCTGATGGGAGGGAACAGAAGACTTGTAAAAAGAAGAAAAATGGATTAATCTGTCATTCTCTAGCTGTTGTTTTCCTTCCTTCCAAAAGCCTAGTGTGCAAGAAAATATATGTTATGTGTTTCTCTTTGTATTTTGTGTTTGGTTTTCCTATTCAAAATTATTATTTTATGATCTAAAACCACAATATGACGTCAACAGGCTTGGAGTACAAGTAATCAAGATCGTGTATCTTTGCACGCCAAATCTTGTCTCGAATCTCTCTCCATAACAACGCTCATATATGAAGTATAATTATAAAAAACACTACAATAATCATACCAAGAAAAAGGATAACATAACCAAAACGACTAAGAGGAAACAGCAAATCCCCAGAACGAGTAGAAGAGAACTAAAACAGCAAAGATAGCAGATCCACAAACAATGTTGCCGGTGAAACAATTCATCGATCAGAATATTGTAGGTGATGAGAAATCTCAGATTAACAAATGGATACAGGCAGATTAAGTAAAATATATTACTAATCAAATGCATGATCGGTAACAGTATCAGAATGCTTTGGTCCTTTCCAATTTGTTCAATGCGATGCAAAAATTGAAATCGAAAAATGGAGATGCGGGGTATCGATCCCCGTACCTCTCGCATGCTAAGCGAGCGCTCTACCATCTGAGCTACATCCCCAATTGCTGAATACTGACGAATTAAATGTTTTTAACGTTAAATTAAAGGTTGATGGACTTCTTAACTTTGTGTCGAGAGAGCCAGGCCTAATGTTTTTGTGTATGGCTCACACACATCCTTTTACCTGACACGCATCATCACGACAAATTTTGAGGTGCAGAAATCGAATTATGTGTCTGTGCGAAACCATACACATTAAAAAAAAAAAAAAAAAAACGCTCATTACACTACCCTCTTAATTTGTCATGGTAACCTAGCCCATGTTTTGATCCCATCGCTTCTCACAAACCCCTAATTTTTTTTACCCAAAAAAAAAAGAAAAAAACCATAATATGGCACCCCGTAGAGAAGACCACCTCCATGATCATGTGGTCTCACTACCGCGTTTTAATATGGTTGGACGACTTTGTTGATACTTCATAAGTTTAGGATATAATTTAAACATAAATGAACATTTTATAATTCAATAAATTAATAACACCACATGTTAGTATAACATAAAAACAATTGCGATGAATTAATATCACCACGTGTTAGTATAACATAATTTGTTAACTTAAAGAAAAACACCATAACACATGCCACACTCGAATTTATAGGTTTGAGTAAATTGTACAAATGGTCCCTCAACTTTAATCAAATTGGAGCAATGGTCCCTCAACTAAAAATCCATTACCTTTGGTCCCTCAACTTATCAAAACGTGCAGCTATGGTCCCTTAACTAAAAATCCATTACCATTGGTCCCTGAACTTTAATTCAAGTGGAGAAATGGTCCTTTAACTTTAACCCAATTGTAGCAATGGTCCTTCCAATATAACTCGTTTTGACAAATTTTTTGACATAGTTGACGAAAAGAACCATAATTATACACTTTGATGAGTTAAGGGACCCTAATTATATAAATGGTCATTCCAACATAGCTTATTTTGAGAAAATTTTGACAAAATTGATGAAAATGACTATAGCTACACATTTTGATAAGTTGAGGGACCAATGGTAATGGATTTTTAGTTGAGGGACCATTGCTCCAATTTGATTAAAGATGAGGGACCATTTGTACAATTTACTCTATAGGTTTGTTACATACCACTCCTAATAAGGGAGCTTTCTGTTACCACAAATTTATGCTAGAGAAAGGGCAAAATTCAATTTGGACTCTAAATTTAGCATTTCCTTTTATTTTCACCCTAAACATTTACTAAATATATGCGCCGGATCAGCCACACTTAATCCTATAAATAAAACACAATTTCAATCCTAATTTTAAGTTCACATAAATAAATTGTGTTTTCTTAACTATTTGTATCAAGATACTACGAAAAACAAAAATTCAAACAAACAAAAAATGGCAAAGATTGCGTTCGTGTTGATTTTCACATTGATGTTGCTTATGTCGATCCAGGCGGTGTTGGGTGACGACGATTTCCTGGAAACTGCAAAGGATCACATAAACACCGCTGCCACGGCCGCCAAAGATGCGGCTGATAGCGTGTCCAAATCGGATGCCTTTAAGGAAGCGAAGGAGACGGCATCAACATGGGGTGATTGGTTTACGGACAAATTCCAGTACGTTGTCACATTTTTTTTGGTTTAATTATTTACATATACATCATCAATTTTGTCAGATTAATTATGTATTAACTCGAGTTTACTTTCTAGTGATATGGGTTTCAGCTCGGACGACGATGATGACGACCATGACAGCAGCTCAAAGGCACCGAAATCAGAATAATATGGTTGTTTTAACTGCCCAGTAATCTTCAAATTTTTAATGTTGTAATTACTTTTTGGTTTGTTGGACTTGGACAAAGATTTACCTAGTTGAATCTTTACCTCATGAGAGGAGTTGAGGCTAGAGATGTTAGATTCCCATATATTATTTGTAAATTGTAAAATAAGAGATTCAACAATGTTGTAACTAAAGCATATTTATGCAATTTTTGCATCCAACTTGTTTTTTAATATAAGCGATATTTAAGATTTCATGCGGTCGGAACTGTTTTAACTATTTCAATTACAAACCCTGATTAGGCTGACCTAATTGTTTTTAATCACTTGCGCTACGAAACTCAATCCATTGAGAAAATGATCTTGAACTTTAAAGACAATGACAATTATTTGAGGGTAATAATTGTGAGGCTTTTTATTCATAATGGTTTCTGATCGTCATAACTCCGTACTTTGGTCTCTGATATATAAAATCGATAAAAGTGGTTCCTGAGATTGTCCACCCTCAATCACTTTTGTTCGTCTATGAAATCTTTGTTACATTAAGTATTTTTGTCAGATCAACCCCTCCTCTTGAACTTGTGGTTTCTTCAATTTAACAGAAATTTTTCAAAGAATGACCAAAACGATTGACGATGGACAATCTCAATGACTAATTCTATCGATTTTAAATCTCAGCCTTAGTGAGCAACTATGATAATCTCAAAGACTAATTTGGCTAAAAAGACTAATTGTGAGGATCAAACACGAAACGGGAGTAAATTTTAGTGACACTTCACAATTAGGGGAAAGACTTACCTACAACGAAAATATTATTATAACATTTCTCAAACTAATTATGTGTTGTCTGTTTTAATTTTTTTTCTACCTTAAAATAATGACACAATTCAGGAATGCAAATGGTTTGCATGCACTTGCAGATAGTTTCCGCGCAGAAATTGGGACTAATCAATTCCAAGTAAGGTCAACCAAAAGTATCAAGAATCAAGTAAAGTCATGAAGCCAAGAAGATCAAGAAAAATTCAAGTAAACCTTACTCGTGCCATGTTTTTAATTTTTCAATTTTTGTCAGAATAGTCATGTCAAAGTGACACATTTTCTTCTCATATTTAACGAAGTATTTTATGCTTTGAGAATTTGGGTCGTTAGATCTGATTATTACATCTTTAACAAAAAAATTAACAACTAAAACTCTAAAAGTACGAAGCGTACTAGAAAATTTTGGTAAAATTGACTAACTAGAGCAGTTCTCACATTAAATAAAACTAATGTAGGGCCAAGTCACATCAAATGTAGAATCAAAATACTGAAGATGTCTCGTATGTTTGCCTAACAGCAGCAGGTCTGCTGTTGTCAAACTTCGTGTCTCTTCTCTAATCACTTGACACGTGTCTTCTAACTTAATAAAACTTCGTATTTCTTATGTAATTACTTAACACGTGTCTTTCAACTTAACAAAAAGTTACCAGTGTTATCACAAAAATAATAGTTATTAGTGCTAATCTTTTGTTAAGTTGAAAGACATTTAATAAGCAATTAGAGAAGATACACGATGATCGAGGACCAGCACACCTCCATCAAGGTTTGGATTGGCAACAATTACTTAAAATATAGAAAAAAAAAGGCTGAATAATTAGAGCAATAACAAAGTCCTCCTCCCTTCACTACTGACGAACGATAATCATGCAGATATCTGATCTAGCTAACGCTGGGAGCCTAAGCCTGTTTCATGTTTATACAAATCTCACTTAATTAACACTTAATCTTAATACTACTCTTAATCTCCCTTTAATCTTCAGCTGCTGCCCCTCCCTCCCCTCCTTCTCCCTCCACATTCTTAAAAGACAAAGCGATGGCATTAGTAGTAGCAGTGACGTCACCCTGCTTCTTAATGGTGTTTTTGTTGTTATGCATCCAAACCCTAAGCACCTGCCTCTTCACTCCCACCTCCGCACAAAACCTCTCCACCTCCTCCTCATCCTGCTTCTGAATTCTCCACCCAACCTTCTCCCCAAACTCCATCATCCTCTCCTTCTGTTCCACCGTGAACTTTGTCCGAAACCGCTTCTTAGACAAAGCAAACGGCGGGACAGTTCCACCCTCAAAAGCATTCAGATCCTCGCTCGAACTCTCCGTCCCTCCACCGCTGCTCCCGAACGCCACGTTCACAGGCTGGACAATCGGAGGCATCGCGTACTTCTGGTGGTGGTGGTGGTGGTGGTGATGGTGCAAAGCCGAGGAAGGCGAAGGCAGCGGCGGCGGAAGCTGAAGCGGACTCAGCATTATGCTCGACCTTCTCGAGCCGGGACTGAAGGCCGCCGTCTCCCCGTCCACCTCCTTGCGGTGAAAGTTGCGGTGGCAGTCGCACGCCGCACATTTCAAAGCCTCCATCGTCCCCTCCTGGCCGCTCGGCATGAACTCTCCGCAGCCGTCGAAGACATTACCACCAATGTTCGCCGCGTGGTTCTTGAGGCACTCTCTATACCTAACAACTTTTGCCAACGACTTGGGCCCACCACCACCGCCACCGACTCCGGCTTCATGTGGGGCCACCGGGGTCCCGGATAGGGCACGATCCGGATCTGGGTCGCGGATCAACGGCTGCAACGGGATAGCAGCTGGGTGGTGGTTGTCTAGGGTTTGGTGCTGGTGATGAGGAGCAGTGGCAGAACCGTAATTCCCAGTACCATTGTGAATCCCAACTCTTCTCTTTTGCTGGTGATCTGCTGCTGCCGCTGGCGACGGCGATGATTCTTTGGTATTTAAATGAGCATAGCTTAGCGAGCCTGACGTCCTCATTTCGTTATCTTGTGCCCTAAAATCCATGGATTTTTTGATATTCTCTCACAAAAACACACAATCTTCAATAATTTAATACCAAAAGCTGTCACAAAAGCATCGTCTCATTGATTTCAAACGAGTATTTGTGTACTTTCTTGGGGTTCCGAGTCCTCCTTCTGTTAATTAATCTCTGCTGTTCTAAAATAAACAAAAAGAAAAACACAAAAAGGCAGAAATATGTTTCAAATATATGACAAAATTAGAAGGCATATATATAGCTATGTAGCTACATCTTTAAATGTGTATCCATCCTGTTCCTAGTATATATAATCTTGTCTCGAAGTTAGTACTAAATATTAGGGTGCTAATCCCACCAAAACCCATGTCGTAATTTTCAACTGTTTTTGCGAAAAACACAGCTTTATGGAGAGAGAGAGAGAGAGAGATGAAAGTACTCACAGTTTGTAAGAAAGAGAGATAGAAACAAACAGCTGCAACAGCATCTTTGGCATGACTGCTTGAACATCTATATGGTTTTAGAGAGAGAGAGAGAGAGAGAGAGAG